TTTAAAAATGGGACAGACCTGTTTGTTTAAGTTTTGACTTTTGAGTACTTATGTTGCTAAAGAAAAAGATTGTAAAAGAATTCGACGAATTATATTCTCTAAGTTACAATACATTAAATTTTGAGGTAAATAAATTATTATTCTTTAGTAATCTTTAAACAAACATAAATAGAATATATATTATTTCAAAAACTACTAAGAGAAAAAAAAATCAAAATCATTTTTTTATAAATTAAATTTTCATAAAAATATATTTAACTCGATCATTAAAATTTATATACATGTATAACTTTTTAAAACAAGTACGAGGTACATTAAAATATAAACATTGCTTTCACATCTTGAAACAACTTAAGAGCATTGGCTAGAAGCCTCCTAAGAATTTCTTGAAAGAAAATTAACAATCTTTTTAGGTATAGTAATAAACATAAATGTAAGCAAAAATGACCATATTTTGTCAAAGAAACACAAATCCTTTTTTAATGATAATAATTAATTAAGTGGGGACATTAATTAGACATTAAATTAAAGAGGTACACACAAAGAGGCCACTTTGTACTCCACTCGTGCCTAACAACTCTTAGTAATCGTGTAGGGATTCCGTATCACGTGGCTTGGCTATTATTACGTCTTTTAATACGCGTACACAGTTGAACAAAGCACGTAAACTCAAGTATCGAACTTTTTCTACCTAAAAATAGAACGTCGATAAAATGTACATTAAAATTCATTTTGTATAATTAGAGAAAATTTTATAGTTTACCATAAAACCTATCACAAACCCTCGTTGTTTATCTGATTTGAGACCGTCTATTATAAAATATATTGCTTTAGGTACATGTTCGTCGTGTATAAATTGGTGTTCTAAAAAACACGTCTAAATGACGTTCTAGGCACCACCTATACGTGAGGCTTGGGCATAATTTCACTCATTTGCAGTGAATGCGAAATATGGGGGGGTCAACTGCCAAGTTGATTGTTTAATGCGCGACTAGGTGTGCTTTGTTAAATTTTTTTAGCTTAGACGCGATTAGGGTGTGCTTTATTTTTAATTTTTTCCTTTTTTAAAAATCTTTTATTTTACTTTTGTTTCAAGTTTTTTATTAAAAACTTGTATAATTGACTAATTGAATAAATTATTAAATAAATATAGTATTTTATAATTGTAAATATTTGATATGTATTATTTTAATTATTAAAGGAATTTCCGAATGATTAAAAATTTAAAATAATATTAAAAAAAAAAAACGCTTTCATGTTGAGGCCTCACTTAGACTCATCCAGGCTTGTAAAGTTTGAAAATCGACATTCAAGTCTATTATGCTTTTACATTTTGTTAGAACATTGGTATAAACATGTCCAAACAAATAGTACTATGATAAAGGGCGAACAAGCAAATATGTCATTGCCAAAACGGGGTGACAACTGTTTTTGGTGCGAAATGAGAAAGACCGTTGAGACAGCAAATGTATACATGTGTTCTTTTTCTCTTTTCTTGGGTATAGCGTGTAATTTAAGTCGTTATATACCACAGTAATCTTATTGTGCCATATTTCAGGGAATACCCCACCCCACCCCACCCCACCCCACCCCACTTCAAACCAGAAAACAAAATAGCCCACGGAGTTATTTCTTTTGATTGTACGTTTTAAACAATAGATTCTGTATTTCGTGTTTACATAGACAGTAATGAATGAAGTTTATTACACAGTAAAAAAATGATATTGTTTATGTGCAAATTATGTATAATTGGGAGAGAGGAGTGAGAGTGGTATGCAGCCACAAAGGCAGAGGCTTGCTTCTACTTCTATTCCCTCAACTACCCTTTTGATATAATTTTTCTCCCTCTTCTTCTCTGTATACATTACAACCTTGGTAGCTGTCCCCTCTCTCTCTCTCTCTCTCTCTCTCTCCCCCTCTCTCTGTGGTTGCAGCATCACTTTCTTGTCCAAGAACTCCTCTCACTACACTCCTCACAAATTCTGCCAAAAATTCCTGTTAACTGTTTTCCAACACATTTCACTTCTCTCTCTTTCGGGTTTCTTTTTTTTCTTTTTTTTTTTAACTGTAAAATTTCTTGGTCAAAAAAAGTGTTTTCCGGCAATGGAAGCCGGTTCTTCTCCGGGAGAGAACTGTTCTGTTAAAGTGGCAGTTCACATCAGGCCTCTTATAGGAGATGAAAGCCTTCAGGGCTGTAAAGATTGTGTTACTGTAGTCTCTGGGAAGCCTCAGGTACTCTTAAAACTCATAATGTGATATGGGTTTTTACTGTGGACTACTGAATTGTGGAAATTCGAGATCTTTCCCAGAGTTTTGGATTTGAGGGTATTATTGGGATGAATTGGAACAGATTTTAGCCCTTGGATTTGATGATTTCATGAAGATCTGATCTTTTGGTGATACTATAATTTTTCCAAGATTTTAGCTTCACCGTCTGGGGAAACTCTGGAGCTCTGCATGTTATATTCTGAGATTTAATATTCTAAAATCTGATATTTATCTGAATTTGGGTGATTTTGCACATCAGTTCCACCTTTATATATTATCAGTTGGATGGAATTTTGCACTCTCATAGACACATTTGGCGACAGGCAATTATAAAATAACCATTTTTAGCCACATGAAGATCCTGAATTTCTTATTATTATTTTTTCCATCTTATGTTGGGGGTATGTGTCTCAAATTTAAGAGAGGAACTGTAAAAGTTTTGGTGCCTATGGATTTCTGGATAGGCTCATTTGTCATCTTTGAGGTCCCTTGCTTAGAGTAGAAACTCTCTCTCTCTCTCTATTTTTTTTTGAAAAGGTGGATTTGAACTTCATCTTCAAGTTATTTGGATGTATACATTCCATTGCTGAAATTGGCAGTGCAATTTCGGGTGGAAATGAATATTTAAACAGAAATTTTATATCTGTGCACCGTCGTGTTTTTGTGAGTAGGGGGTAGGTGGGAGGGAGGGATTGGCTAGTTGGTGTTGTATTTGGTGGTTAAGTTCAACATAGGCGGACCGAGATTCTGTAGCTCGGCTGCTAGATTTATGATCATTATTATCGTTGACTTGATTATGACTTCAACCCATCTCCAGCCACTAGTAGAATATATCTCATGGTGTGGGAGAATTCACAGGTCTTTCGATTTTCTGGCTGGGGCTGATAAACGGGTTTTACATTGTAAAATTTTGGGATGACATATGTTATCTTGGAAGATGTCTTATATTTCAAGTTCTTCTGTATATAGCAACTATCTTCGTATTTATAATTCAGTTGTAATTTTTGTACAGGTGCAAATTGGCACACATTCCTTTACCTTCGATCATGTCTATGGGAGTACGGGTTCTCCTTCTTCTACCATGTATGAAGAGTGTGTTTCTCCTCTTGTTGATGGCTTGTTTCAAGGATATAATGCAACCGTTCTTGCCTATGGTCAGGTAAAGCTTTATCATGCATTAGAAATTGTGCATTTGCAGCAGAAGCAATTCAAAATACGTCCGCAGTTAATTAGTACATTGAAAGATTTGACATTTCAATTTGTTGCAGACGGGTTCAGGAAAAACATACACTATGGGCACTAGTCTTAAAGATGGATGCCAAACGGGATTGATTCCCAAAGTTATGAATGCGTTATTCAGCAAGATTGAAACTTTGAAGCACGAGATTGAATTCCAATTGCATGTTTCATTCATTGAGGTTCGTCTATTTATCCCTTTCTCATTTGTCCATATTTTCTAAGCGATGTTGAGTGTGGTACTCGAAATTTCTGGCAAGTGTATAACGAAAGTGTTTTCATGTGAAGATACACAAAGAGGAAGTCCGAGACTTGCTAGATCCCAGTTCTGCTAGCAAATCAGAGACAGCAAATGGACATGCAGGGAAAGTTACCATTCCTGGGAAACCTCCCATACAAATTCGTGAAACATCAGATGGTGTTATTACCCTTGCTGGATCTACTGATCGCAGCATCAATACGCTAAAAGAAATGGCAGATTGCCTGGAACAAGGGTCACTATGCAGGGCAACAGGGAGTACAAACATGAATAATCAGTCAAGGTTGATATTCCTATGCTACTATTGTTTGTTCTTCCTTGCTGAGAAAAAAAGGATGTCACTTTAGGGAACAAGTTCCTATTAACAAGACAGGAAATGCACTGCCAATTTTACTCGTTTGTCAAATCTCGACAATTAGTCTGGGAATTTCTGGTCTTGGATTGGAAATAGAGTGACAATCCATACAATTGACGTAAATTTGTGATCTGTTTCTGTTCGTACCACAAGGGTATTTTCAACGAAAATTAGTCATGATGTACAGGAATCACTGAATTTTGTTGTTTATTTGACATTTTAGAATAGGACAAATGGTGGTTTAATTTTTAAACAGTCATTCAAGATAAAAGAAGATTTTTCTTACACAACTGCTACTGAATTTCTTGCGATGATCATTGAATTTAAAAATTTCTGCAAAAGTTATATTGCTCAAGCTAATTTCATGAGTTTTATGAAGTTCATTTGATCCTAAATCTTCCCTAATGGGTGGGGCAGTATAGGTTGACTTGGGGTGTTGGAAGTTCTCATGTTACTTCATCTTGATGTTCTTTTACTAGACTTAGTTATTATGCTGACATAAATATATCATACAATGGTCAACCAATACATTGCATGTTTGATGAAACAAGTAGTGGAATACATTCAGGGAAAAAGAGCTCGTGCTGAATTCTTACTCCTAAATTAATCTCGAGTTACTACTGAGTATAATGACACTCTCTCATCTCTCTCCTCTAGTCGGTCTCATGCCATCTTCACCATCACGGTGGAGCAGATGCGTAGACTTCATCCAGTTGTTTCTAGTGATGAGAATCTCAGTGACTGTATGACTGAAGAATATCTTTGTGCCAAGTTGCATTTGGTGGATCTTGCTGGATCAGAGAGAGCCAAGAGAACAGGCTCTGATGGCCTCCGTTTCAAAGAAGGTATGTAGGAGTACACATTTAGTTACATTTGGTAAGGAGAATTGTATAGAAGCCAACATCTTGTTTAATACTCTCTCTTGTCTTGCATACTAAACATGCACTTCATTCTTCCCACAGATCCTTTTGTTCATAACAAAATTGAATAAAACTATCTTTTTGTACAGGAGTTCACATTAATAAGGGCCTTCTTGCACTCGGTAACGTCATTAGTGCACTTGGTGATGAAAAAAAGAGAAAAGAAGGTGTTCATGTACCATATCGGGATAGTAAACTTACTCGACTACTGCAGGTTTGACACACCTTTCATCTTCAAGGTTAACTGTATTTCATAGCCCTGTCATACTTTCGTCATGAAATATGACTTGCTTGGTAATATATGTTGTTTGTTAATTTTTAACCTACCAGAGACCTATCAGGCATCATATTTTTCCTGTAATATGTAAAGAAGATATTGAAGTCCTTAATTATTAAAAACTGAAAGCAGGTGGAGTAGAGTAGCTAATTGATTTTAATTCTATGATAATCTTATCAAAAAAATCGTTGATAATTTTTAATTACCTCAAGGACGTTATGCTTTATGGGTTAAAATTATTTTGCAGGAATTGATCTGATCTCTTAGAGAAGTAATAGCAGTTTTGTTTCAAATATTCTTTCATATTCTTAAGAAAGTATCTTTCTTGTCTGCTTTGTTTGCCTTTTTTATATACTGATGTAGTTTATGGCATTGGCAGGATTCTCTTGGTGGCAACAGCAGAACAGTCATGATAGGTAATTCTTTCATATTGACTATTTGTCCCTCTTATAGGTTTGCATATGGAATGTTTGCACATTCTTATTCATATGCTTCAAGAGTATATTAAAGTAATCACAATCTTGTTTATGCTTTTAACTCTTTTCTTTTTTGCAGCCTGCATTAGTCCCGCTGATATAAATGCAGAAGAAACTCTTAATACACTAAAATATGCCAATCGTGCTCGTAACATCCAGAATAAGCCTGTGGTAAGTTATTGTATCCCTCCCCTCCCCGCCCCAACCACAATCACCACTTTCCCTTGGCTGAAATTTGACATTTTCATTCACCACATATAGATAGAGATCATTTACTTCTGAAGGTCATCATATTAAATTCTGCTGGTTTACTGATCAGATTAACAGAGATCCGATGTCCAGTGAAATGCTCAAGATGCGACAACAACTGGAGTATCTGCAAGCAGAACTTTGTATCCGTGCAGGAGGAGTTTCATCAGATGAAGTACAGGTATAATCAATTCCTTTATTACAGTCAACTTCTTGAGGTGGAAAGTGTGAAATTTCTACATTTTCATTTACTGAAATTTTGTACATGCGTAGCAATCATCACAAAGATAGTGTCTATTCCTCTCTATGGCTTGAGAAAAACACTGACGGTTTATTTGGTTTGTTGAATTTAACAGTATTGAATAGTATTAAGAAAGAAACAGCAGCTAAACTCTTGTGTAACTGTGAAATTGTGTCTAGCAATGCATACCAAACTTACTCTAGAAGTCTTAACTAGAGATAACTTGTACAGGTTCTTAAGGATAGGATTGCTTGGCTTGAGGCTACCAATGAGGAGTTGTGTCGGGAACTTAATGAATATCGCAACAGCAGGAGCGGTATCAAGCAATGTGATGCTGATGCTAATGTATGCCATATATCATTGATATGAATTACTTAGCTCATAATTATCTTTAATAGACATCTACTTATCATATTTGATAATTCAATATTTACTGCTAGCTGATATCATAAAAGCTGAGCTGGATATTTATACTTGTCAAAGTACATTTAAATTTATAATCTTATTTTTTGAGGTCAAAATAAATGCGCCAGGTTGGTTGCAACTATTCTGTAAAAACTGAAGAGCTCAAAAGGGGATTGCAAAGTATGGAGTCATCTGATTACCAGATGAGTGAAAGTGGTATGTTTCTCGGGGTTTGAACTAGCTTTGTATTTGATTTCCTAATATTAACTTATGAATGAATGGTAACTTAAATTTATTGTTATTAGAAAATAAGAAGGATGAACTTAAAGTGCCCAGCTTCATTTCCAGAGAACTCATCCATATTTATTTACGACTTCATTAAACAGTTTCAGGATTTAATTTCCTTGCAGGTGATTCGGGAGATATTGACGAAGATACAGTGAAAGAGTTGGAACATACCTATTTGCAAAATACGATGGATAAAGAATTAAACGAGTTAAATAGGCGTTTGGAGCAGAAAGAGGTACTGAGAATTCTTGAAAGCAATTCAAATCTTTGAGAATAAGGATATGGATTTTTTTCATGCCTTTGTTATGTATCAGAAAAAATGTTTTATGTCAAAGCTATAAATTCACACAATCGTAAAGATGAAAATTGTGAACTTATATTAAAAATATTGAAAAGAACTTCATGTATATGAAGGGACCAAACAAGAACAAACTAAGCCTTTTACCAAATAAATTTGGTGTCTGCTACATGTATCTAAAGGGATCAGAAAAAGGCAATGATTGGTGTTTGGCAATCCGAACACGAGAATGCAAGATTGGCTACTACATACTGGTAATAGGGAATGCTAAGTGTGAAATGAATAGACTAGAGAGTACTAACCAAGTTCACATGAAGTGCATCGGCAACAGAAGCAAAAGGTTTAAGGATATCTCGTGCAAGGTCTCTCACCTGTTCCTAATACAGAGCTGGTGTGGGTATCGTTTCAGACAATTACAGTTCACCCAGTGTCAATTTTGTAAAGAACACAATGACGTAAATTAAACCACTAACCAAGGCAACGTGAAGGGCATTATTGGACTCAAAAACCTCGAGGCCATGTTTTTAGTTAGTAGCCAGTCCATGTCATTAATACAATAACACCATGCTAACAATGCCAAATAACTGCTATTGGACAGAGCATTACATACGTTTCAATAATTTGGGTTTCATCTTCCGTAAACTGGGTAGCGTAACGTACGCTGTGATTTTTTGTATCCTTTCTTTCCATATTATTGTGTACTGTATTTGTTAAAGAAGGATTTATAAGTGTTTTCATAATGTTACCATTCCAAAGGAACATGCCAACTGTAAGCAGTTGATGTTCAAGCATATGAAGTTATAAGATATGCAAAAACATCTCGTACTTAGAATTTTCTTATTTAATCATCTGAAGTTAGATTAATGTCTGTTTATGATTCTATGTTGATATCTCTACAAGCTTCTAAATCCTTAAGATGAGAGTTATGTAAATTTGTTTTCTGATTGATTTCATCCTACGCTACTATAAATTGGATGGCTATAACGGAATACAATCAATAGCTTTTCTATGTGGTTATGCAAGTAATTGTGCACATGATACTTCTGCTGTACACAAATCCCGCTGCTCTTAATCTGATGCTAATACTCTCCTTTGTAATGTAGTTGTTGTTCTACATCAATTTCTGCTAGATTCACTGCATGTAACAATGCCCTGTAGGAAGCTTTTGTTGATTAATCTGGAACTAGTTAAAGAAGGCAATAACTTCTTTGTCTAGCATATAACCTTGCATTACATCTTGCAGTCGGAGATGAAACTTTGTGGAGGTAGTGGCACGACGGCTCTTAAGCAACACTTTGGAAAGAAAATTATGGAACTTGAGGAGGAAAAACGGACTGTCCAGGTCAAATACTGCTAGTGCATGTTTATTACGAAGTATATGATAGTATAATGAAGAAGATTTTATTGTCCTTTTCTCCTTTAATACTGTCAAGTCCTGTCCATACCCTGCATTAAAGATGCCCCTAATAGAAACCACTGAATGATTATTTTCCTTTCAATTTTTAATGCTTATGTTCTCTAGTTCAATTATTTGATGAATACAGCAAGAGAGAGATAGACTGTTGGCAGCAGTTGAAAATCTTTCTGCTAATTCTGATGGACAAGCACAAAAGTTGCAGGATATGCATTCTCAGAAACTAAAAGCACTTGAAGCACAGGTTACTCTAATTTTCTACTAAGATAATATTTCCTTTTGTAGACTTTTGAAAAATATTGTTTCATGGTCTTTTCCCTTATTTTAAGAAGTTTCACCATATTCACACATACAGATACAAGATCTTAAAAGGAAACAAGAGAATCAGGTTCAGCTTTTAAAGCAGAAACAGAAAAGTGATGAAGCAGCAAAAAAATTACAAGAGGAAATTCAATGCATCAAGGCACAAAAGGTTACATTTTTCCTTCCCTTTTCTACATATTTTCCGTGTTATATGTGGCATGTGTTTTGCTAACTTTTTCTAGTGTTGTAGGTTCAATTGCAACATAAGATTAAACAAGAAGCTGAACAATTCCGACAATGGAAAGCATCTCGAGAAAAGGAACTATTGCAGGTACCATTGCATCTCGAGAAAAGAATTATCCATATAATTGTTTTCAAGTTTAAAAAAGAAGTATAGCACAAGTGGTTGTTATTATTATAATAATAATAATAATAATAATAATAATAATAATAATAATAATAAAAAAGAGTCAATTTAAGCTAACTAGAAATACATTAGATGAGTTCTGCAGCTTGTATGAGATAGAAAATTCAAATGCATACACCTCGTATGGAATTGGATAACAGCAATTCGTAACTTTTACTACTGAAACAACTCCTGCAAGTGTATATTATCTGATTACAAAATTTCAGTTTTACCATTTAGTTGCGTAATGTACTGCATAGATGATTTTACTTTGTACCATGACTTGCATCTCGTGAATGTTTATTTTGAAGTGATATGATTTTGATAATTAGAGGTACTATCTTTTTTATTCAGTTGAGGAAGGAAGGGAGAAGAAACGAGTATGAAAGGCATAAACTGCAAGCTCTGAATCAGCGACAGAAAATGGTCAGAACCTTTTTCTTACTTCTATATATGTAGATCATACTCTTTGTTTCATATATTCCAGAATATTATGATGCCGAATTTGGTGGAAATTCCATTTTGGAATTGTAAGTGAAGACCTCTGTTCACAGCTGAATAGCTATTTTTATCTTTTTCTTTTTGTTTAGAATATTAAGGGAAGCTAAGCGTTTGTTTGGCATGGCTTATTTGACAATTCATTTTTTCCTCAAACTCATTCAACCAAAAATCTCCCAATAATATAATTTTGCACGTGGACTCATGATTTTTCCATATATTTTAATTATACATTCTCCAAAAAAATCATTTTTCACTTCAAATAATCTCTCCTGAACAAACACTAAAAACAGAATTCTACATTTGATTTGTTTATTTTTTGTCATCTCTCCAATTAAAGATCTTAAAATTTAATGTCAAGAATTAGGTATCATGAGCCAATACGGAAAAAAGGGCAGCATATTAAAAAGTTCTTGTTTATGGGAGACTTAAGTCTGCTACTTGTTAGTTCTTGAATGATCTTGCTCATATTCACCCTGTTTTTTCTGTTTTCAATCAAAATACCTGAAAATGGTGGAGCTATATCTTTGTAATTTTTTACCTTGAAGAAACACGAAATGTGAAATGCTTTTCCAATTTTTTTTTTTTTTGGGTAAAATCCATATATGCTTAGATAGGGATTTAGGACCTTCCTACTAAACTTAAATGGGGGATTTGGCATTTCCCCCTTCCCTAGTATTGCGAATGCTAAGAAACTTAGTTTTCATGTTTAGGATTTAGGAGATAGTGATTTTATTGAATTTGTAGAACCTTTGATTCATGAAGTTGATAAATCTTCAATTCTTAAAAATATATATTTTAGTTTTGGCTTTGCTGTGCTATATCCTCCCATGGTAAAGTTTGGCCTCATAATCTTGTGTTTTCCTTTGGATTGATTCTCAATCTTTAGTGATTCAATATATAGCTTTACAGGCAAGAAACTTCAGAAGTCTATTTAGTGAATGCTCATTGGTATTGTTCCTTGAATCAATTTTATTTCAGGTTCTTCAGAGAAAGACGGAAGAGGCTGCAATGGCTACCAAGAGGCTGAAAGAGTTGCTAGAAGCACGTAAATCGTCAGCTCGTGACAATTCAGGTACTTATTTTTCATATTGTTAAATTGCAAGGAATATGTTACTTTCTTAATTTTTGATACTGATAGTACATTGTTTTCTAGTGACAAGCAACGGAAATGGATTGAATGGGCAGGTGAAATTCCTACTTATCCTCTTGTAATGTTAGTTTTTACCCATTTGATCAATCCAAGTTAAACTAGCTTTATATTCAGAGCAATGAGAAATCCTTGCAACGTTGGCTGGATCATGAGCTAGAAGTCATGGTGAATGTTCATGAAGTTCGTTTTGAGTATGAGAAGCAGAGCCAAGTGTAAGTAGGGAACTCTTATTAGTATATCTTGCCTAGTATATATTGTCACTTATGCATTCAGGGGCATTTTCATGTTGTGCATACTTCTGTAGACTTGCAAAAACTAGTATTGATTTTAAAGTCTTTGTTTCTGCCTCCAGGCGTGCTGCATTGGCAGAAGAATTAGCTGTTTTGCGACAAGTCGATGAATTTGCTTCAAAGGGTGTTAGCCCCCCTCGGGGTAAAAATGGATATTCTAGGTAAAGCTTATTTTATTATCATATCTTTGGTTCTTCAGATGCCATACTGTTGTCTGGAACTTCATTATTGAAAGCATAAACATGTTACATTGAACTTTGAATTGCCATAATATTTCTTTTCAACTGTTTATCTGTCCAGGGCATCTTCAATGTCCCCTACTGCAAGAATGGCAAGAATCACTTCTCTAGAGAACATGCTCAGTATTTCATCAAATTCACTTGTCGCAATGGCTTCACAGCTTTCGGAGGCAGAAGAACGAGATCGTGCTTTCAATAGCCGTGGGCGCTGGAATCAGCTGCGTTCTATGGGGGATGCAAAAAACTTGCTCCAATATATGTTCAATTCTCTGGGGGATACAAGGTACTTTTAGTTGTTTCCATCGAATGCATTTCCTATTGATAGACTCTTTCCTTATTCATCCAGTATCAAAATTTTCCTTTATCTTCATTGAATAATGAATAAATTATATATATTACTCGCAGCTTCCCATACGTGTTGTACTGAATCATTCGAGATATCTGAATTTCCTTTTACTCATCTATAATCTGTTTTATGTAATTATAATCGGAAACTTCATAAGATTTGAAAGCATGGGGTGGAGAAGGAATACTGATTATTTACACGTGCAGGCACCTTCTCAGATATCAGAGAGAGAGAGAGGGAAAAAAAAAAGTAACAGTATATATTACATTATGTTGTAACAAAGAGATCAAGGAATGAAATATTTTTGTTGGAAATAGAATCAACGAGGATATGCCTCAGAATTTGAACAGGAATATTAAACAGAATTTGGAATTTAGCAATTTGTAGGAAACTGTATTTTATGATCGTAATAAAATTTTTATCAATTTCATGATATTAACAGGTGTCAATTGTGGGGAAAGGAAATTGAAATCAAGGAGATGAAAGAGCAGCTGAAGGAACTTGTAGGTTTATTGCGACAGAGTGAAATCAGAAGGAAGGAAGTTGAGAAGGAGCTAAAATTGAGAGAGCAAGCTGTAGGCATTGCATTGGCATCAACACCTCCAGTATGACTGCTTTTGCTTATATTTTAAAGAAGTTTCATCTTTTTTATTTGCTACCCTTATCTTGACTATTTTGCTGTTGCAGGATAACTCTCACAAACATGTAGCTGATGACATGGGCAGTCCTTTGTCGCCAATACTTGTGCCAGCTCAGAAACAACTCAAATATACAGAAGGAATTGTTAATGGTTCAATCAGAGAGTCAGCTGCCTTCATGGATCAAACACGAAAGGTTGATTTTGTGCTCCTCATTTGTTGGACTGTGTGGAGTCTAATTATATTGTTCACCTGTTCCTTTAACTGCAAATCGATCTATATTGGGCATTCATATGTTCGTATTAAGTCGCCCTAGTTTCCAAAGTTACAAATACTAACCTGGAGGCACAAGTGAGAAGTTAGAGAGGTGTGAGATAAACTTTGTAATACTATGCTTCATTATAGCGAAAAACTTGTGCCGGCGAGTGGTTGTAGCTCTCACATTGGGGGTGAACCACTACAGATCTGTGTATTTGCTCACGCGTGTTTCTGATTTCATAATATTGTTCTCAAGATTGGGATTGGGGATTAATCTCTAACATTAGTTTGTGAATTTTGCTTTATGCTGTCTTGTTTGGCTCCCTAAAAGTGTTTATGGTGTGTGCAGATGGTGCCTATTGGACAGTTGTCGATGAAGAAATTAGCACTTGTCGGGCATGGTGGGAAACTCTGGAGATGGAAGAGGAGCCATCATCAGTGGCTGTTACAGTTCAAATGGAAATGGCAAAAACCATGGAGACTCTCGGAATTGATTAGACACAGCGATGAGACAATCATGAGGGGCAAGCCTCGTCCACAGTCTCTTCCAGATGTTATGTATAGAAATGGTCGCTAGCTTATAAATTTCAACGATGTACATTCTTTTCTGACCAATTTCAGCCCCAATACATAGCACAGGGATTTGCATGGAAATAAGTACAGGTAAAATTCATATTTTCAAATCGAATCAACATTTCTATATATTGCAAGCTCTCGAGTACATCATTACATTGTTCAAAAAGTATAGGTTAGAACAAATGCTCTTCTTGTTTTCAGTTGAGCACCTTGGTGCTGCAAGTATGACTCCGCACAAAATAAACCTGAACACATAAGTTGTGAAATCGAGAAGGTATTTACTAAAATGATGTGGAGTCAAAGATAGGTAAAAAAGATTGTCTAGTAGTCCTGTATGGATTCTGGTCCATTGTGGATGCTAAGGGTGAAGTTGTGTTTGATCTTCTAGTGGATCAATCTATTAAGTGAACGCGGTTGCCAAAATGAATTCACATAAACAACCCCAAATTTATCTAGAACAAGGCTTAGATTATTGTTGTAGTTCTGGTGTATTATTACACATGGACTACTGGGATAGAGGTGTCGAATTTCTCTTGGACACTATTTTTCCCTTGATATAATGTTCAACATAACTCCTTAATATGTATTTTCTTCACGTACATATTTTTTATGAAATGTTTTTGTAAATAAACCTTGTAGTTCATTATTTGATATGCATTTACTGCAATGCAGGGTAAGGTATAAGTGGCAGTCAGAGAAGTTTGCTTGTAGTCGGTAGAAATGAATATAACATGAAATGGTTTGTTTACCTCTGAAGTTTGTAACTACAGTTACTCATTAGCAAATCTTATGAATGGGTGCAGTTGCTGAATGATTTCACCAAGTTATTAGATGGAGAATTGGACGAACCGTGAGAGATTTGTGATATGCCAAAGATGTTTGATTTTGCACCTCTCTGTGGTTTCCAGTGTTGTGTATATTTCTTGTCCGAAGTCTAACTTTTGTGAAGGAAATTTTCGTCCAAGTCACGGTAGCTGTGTGTCTAGTGTTATTTTTTCAATTTCTTGAAGTTTTTTGTGAATTTTTTAGGGGGGCGAATTGGCCTATAGTATTGTATGTTGTGTGTTAGTGCAGTATTAATGTCGTTCAAAGAAAAAATAACTTTGCTACATTCCTTGATTCTAAAATAGGTTATTCTTTTGTGGATGTTTTGCCATTTCCTTCAGGGTTTGTACATAACAAAATTGAATCTGGAGGAAGAAACTGGGTTTTAAACTTCTCTCGCTGTGTGCGCTCATGCGCAACTAACCACTTTGCAAGTTTTTCATATTATTTGTAACTGAGTCTTTGTGTCGAGGTAGTTATATTATATGTACAGTTCATTCTGGGAGAGCATTTGTCCATTTTACCTCTCATGACTATCTGTCGCATCATTCAGGATAACAACATTAAGGGTCAGTTCTCTTCATCATTTTTAAGCCATTTTCTGTTTTCGATTTTCCAAAACAGTGAATACGCGTTCTCTTTCTTATTTTTGAAAACGTGTTTTTGAAAACAAGTTAAAGATTTACAAAGAAAATTCAAAACGACAAATTTGTCGTTTTGAGTGTTTTCAGTTATAATCAAGTCAAAATTTTCAAAATGCGTTTTGGGTGTTTTCAAAACAATTTTCCAAAATGCCAAAAAAACACAAATTCAAAATGAATTCAAAACAGAATTTGTCGTTTTGGGTGTTTTCGGTTGTAATCAAACCAAAATTTTCAAAACGAGTTTTGAGTGTTTTCAAAACAATTTTTCAAAATATCAAAAAGAACACATTTTCAACTATCTCAAAATGGACACTTAAAATACAAAATTCAAAATGAATTCAAAATACAAAACTAAAATACAAAGAGAATAATCCCGAAGTTTTTCAAAAAACAGACATCTTGGATTCAAATTTTGGAAGGCGCAATAGAAAGTCGTGAGAGGTAAGACGGATATAAACTCTATCGAAATGAATAGTAAGTATTAGTATGACTGAATAGCTTGAGCAGACAAGCTGAATGTGGCTTTGTTTGCCCTTTTTTCTAATTTTATTCTTGCTATATAAGATTTCCACTTATCCTTAACACTATCCCTCTGCTTCGCGGGAAGAAGTATCTGAAGTATGATCATGAGCAGTTGTTTATTCAGAATCTGTCCTCTTTTGTTTTTAACTTTATACAAAAAATGCAGTGTAGTCAAGTAACACGAAATCTTCCAAACACGTGCAAAAATATAAACAAGAAAATTCTAAATTCTCTTCATTCAGTATCACAGTTACGTGCAGCATAAAATGATATTAGAACAAATGGCCGCTAATAATCATATATTTGTTATAAACTAGAGAGAACAATTAGAAAAGTCAATAGACTTGTTTATTTTATTAAGAACCAAAGTCTCATATTTATAGCGAAGAATTAATATTACGATAGTAATAAAAACTAGGGCTTAAAAATCATTCAATATTACTATTTTTACAACTCTCCCTTGAATGACTGTTTACAAAATAACTATCTCATTGAAACCTTATTTGACAAAACCCGATGGGATGAATCAATGTCTTGTATGTCAATGTATTCAATATTGATGTCTTATACATCAATATCTTAAAGAAAACATAGTTGAACAAAACTTGTTGACTGTATTAACAAGATGATTAAAAAAATAGCTTATGTTGATCTATTTGGGAATCTCATACATATCAAAGTATTATTTTTAGGGTAAATGTCTTGTATGTTATGGACATTCATTACACAATCAATATGACTCATTAAAATCTTATTAGGAAATTCATGTTTGGAAAATCCTAATGAAAGAAAAATAGTTATTCTTTTGAGTACGCTACAAAAGTTATCTCGTCAACAACCTTGTCAGAAAAACTCAATGTGCAAAACCTTGGTCAAAGAAAAAAGAGTACAACGCGTATTTACTCCCTCTTAGGATATAATCATTTGAATTGATAACGAATTTATTTTGATATCTTTGCTACTTATAATATGATGCAGTACAAAAAGTATTGTTGACAATTTTTTTCTTTTCGGTTCTATTTCTTTTCTCATTATGACATAACTTATTAAAATATCTCAATTTCATTATTTCAGGTACTTAAACCTCTTCTGGGGTTTTAAAACTTATTATGTCTAAATACTCATCAATAGTATATGCCTCCTTAATATGATCATCTTTGCTAATTGTTTTCATTTTCGTTTGCAGATTTTCATATTAGAATTGAATTTCATCACGTTTCTGGCGTACCATCAAATATTATACTAACTAATTATCATCTAGAACGTTAATTCGAGTTGGGGCATTTGAAACTGATGTGTGAGATAGATCTCTTTGGTCAGTAAATGCATCTAAATGAATTATCTTTCGAACTTCTGGTTCGAATGATCTTTTGCGAGGATTTAGATGATTATGCATTTATAAATTATTTTAAGCTTCTTAATTCATCCCCCTAATGTTGAGAGAATTGTCAAATCAAATTGACAATCAACAAACTGTTTTATAAAATATCACTTGTCAAAGCTTAAGATACTATATAAGGATTCAAACTACTCATTTATTCTTAGCATTCTTTACTTTCCATCTCAGTGCATTGTGGTGGATCAATCTTACATATATTGCACTATCAAATAATTAGATGAAAAAAATAGGCTCCAACCATAAGCCAATTATAGCAGGGAAAACTATGGTGTTAACATGATACGTAATAGCATTCCCTGAATGGCAAAGAAAAGTAATTTGTTCTCAATTAAATTAATTTTAGGCGTCTGAAGAACAATAATGTTAAACTATTTTTCGAAATCTCAACTAACACTTATTAGAAAATTGAGATTTAGGATCACTAGCATTAATAAGTAACACCGTTTTAACTGTTTAATTTGAAAATTATGCTCATAATCTGAGCACTAATTTCGTAAACTTCAAGTTGCGATCACTATGAAGTCATCTAGTATTTATATCAAATCTATTAGATACAAATAATATATAAATGGTCAACGTGGAGGATGATGGGGCCTAATATATCACCCTATTAATTTTCAAAAATATAGGGAATTCAGTTTTAATTTAGCTAGTGATAATGAAATATAACACACATCATAATAAATTTCATTGGATTGAAGAATCTTCGGTTCTTCAAGTTAAAACTAGAGATTTATTTTGGTTAAACCAACAATTGTAATTGAATGAATTTTTTACACTATTTCGGTTCTTTCATTTACACACACACACACACACACACACACACATATAAAGAATATTCTAGAGAATTAAATGTCATGTGGCTAACTAATTTTTGCATTCCATTCCTGATAATCAGGAAATACCAGCAAGCATTATGACTGTAATAAGTTGTTTATTTAGTTGAATTTGCTGCACATTCACGTTGGTAGAAATATTCTAACTCCCTCCCTCTAGGTGGAGTGAGTTTCTATCACTCTAAGTTTGTCTTTAAGGAATAAGAACCTTGAATGAGCAAGTGGTTTTGCTAATAGATCCACCGTCTGATATGATGACGACATATAATGTATTTTCAGCTTTCCTCTTAATACTTGTCCCTTACAAAATGTACATCCAATTCTATATGTTTGGTGGGTGCATGATAAACAGGATTCGAACCTAATGCACTTGCACTCAGATTATCACACCAAATACTTGGAACTGATCTTTGTGGTATTTCCAACTCACTCATCAAGGATTGAATCCATGTAATTTCTGATGCACCTTGAGCTAATGCCATGTATTCAGCCTCTATGCTTGACCTGGCAACGACATGTTGTTTCTTAGAACACCAGGACACCAAACTGTCTCCAATGTATACACAATAGCCTACAGTTGACCTCCTGTCGTCTGGATATAAGGACCAGTCAAAATCAGCAAACACGGTTATGTCAAGACTATCACTTTTTCGAATAGCAAGGCCATGACTTAGTGTTTACTTTAGGTATCTAAACACCCTCTTGAGTACCTTCCAATGAACATCCGTGGGTGTTTGAAGGAATCAGCTCAGCATATTTACAGCGTAGGTGATATCTGGCTTTGTTTGAGTTATTTTGCCTACTGCCATAGGTGTCAGATTTGGTTTCAAGCTTTCATAGCCAAACTTTCTGAGTAAGTCCATAGCATACTTTCTTTGAGTTAAGTACAATCCAGTTGCATCTCTACGTACCTCAATTCCTAGGAACTAACTGAGACTTCTCATATCCTTAAGTGCAAAACTGGTGTTTAGCTTATCAATGAAAACTTGTAGCTATTGATTGTTATTACCTGTAATCACTATATCATCCACGCATATTAGTGCAAACAACACATCCCTTTCATTTGCCAAGAAGAACAGGGAATTATGTTGATTTGGACTGTCTGAACTTCCATTCTAACATACAACTTTTCAGCCTTTCATGCCATGCCCTTGGGGCATGCCTTAATCCATATAGAGCATTTCCCAATTTGCACACAAATCCAAGATTTACCTCATCTACAAATCCTTGTAGCTGATCCATGTATACTACCTCATTTAACCTTCCATTCAGAAAGGCATTATTTACATCCACTTGTCTGATTTCTCAGTCCTTAGATACAGCAAGTGTTAGAATAATTTCCAAGGTCGAGGCCTTAACAACAGGACTGAATGTTTAACTAAAGTCTACTTTAGGAGTTTGAAGAAATCCCTTGGCCACCAATCTTTCTTTTTGTCTTTGCACTCTACCTTCTGAATCATACTTTAGCCTGAATACCCATTTTATTGCCAAT